AATAGTAAGTACATTTGGAGTACTAATTGTGTTTATTTGCAGGAGCAACTGCAACAATAATTTCGCCAGCGCTCCAGAAAAGCAGCAGCACAAATACCGCCAGGGCTCCGGCGGTAAGTGTAAAGAGTAAGTGCAGTGAAAGTGAAAGTGAAGTGCAGTGAGGTTAAAAGTAGCGCCGGCTGTATTGCCATTTGTCGAGGCGCGAGTGCGGAACGCCGGCACTAGGTGCCATACCGTCAGGCGTCAGTGCGCCTCGCTGCACGGCCCCTACCAGCGGCCGATAGTTAGTAAGAGCGCCGGCTGTATTGCCATTGAGGAGGCGCAAGTGCTGAACGCCGGCACTAGGTGCCATACAGTCAGGCGTTCAGTGCGAAACAAGGCCCCCACCAAGCGGTCCAACGCGATAGCAAATTCGCACCAGCAAGGCCCCCACCAGTGGTCCACCGCGGGAGCAACACGCAAATTAAATGCCCCCACCAAGCGGTCCAACGCGATAGCAAATTCGCACCAGCAAGGCCCCCACCAGTGGTCCACCGCGGGAGCAACACGCAAATTAAAGGCCCCCACCAAGTGGTCCACCGCGATAGCAAATTCGCACCAGCAAGGCCCCCACCAGTGGTCCACCGCGGGAGCAACACGCAATTTAAAGGCCCCCACCAAGTGGTCCACCGCGATAGCAAATTCGCACCAGCAAGGCCCCCACCAGTGGTCCACCGCGGGAGCAACACGCAATTTAAAGGCCCCCACCAAGTGGTCCACCGCGATAGAAAGTTCGCACCAGCAAGGCCCCCACCAAGTGGCCCACCGCGGGAGCAAATTAAACGCAAGGCCCCCACCAGTGGCCCACCGCGGGAGCAACATCGCCAAACTAAGGCCCCCACCAAGTGGCCCACCGCGGGAGCAAATTAAACAGCAAGGCCCCCACCAAGTGGCCCATCGCGGGAGCACAGCCCCATTAGTGGCAACAGAGTAAGCTGTAAGATAAGGTAAGCCTTTCAATTTGCCACGTATATTCGCGAAAAACGACTGGGAAAGGGGTGCGAAAATTGCAATAGGTCGTGCGTGAGTCCCAGAGCCACCCCGTCCATATATAAGTATATATATACATATATATATTTTTTAATACGTATACAGTTTCTAAATTTAAACGGTATCGGGGTAGGATAATCCGTTCCTTTTCGCGAAATTCGAGCGGTAAAGTGGTGGAGGAATAGCGGAAATTCCTTTGGGTTACCGTATCCACACACCGTTG